ATCCAAGTCTTTGAAACAGTGATTAGTTATATAGAGTTCTACTGCCAGCTCTGTCATTGAAATGTGTACCTTTATGCTTGTAGAGAAAACTAAGAAAATAAATAATACTATAAATAAAAGATATATATAATTAAATAAAAGGTTGTAGCCTCTTTTAAGATACTTACAATAATGATAAGAACATCTGTGGAAAAAAATTAACGAAATCGAACAACTTCTGGTGGTAACAATGTTCTCATAAATTATCCAAGATATACTTATAATACATACTGTATAGTCTCACCATTTTATCCGTGGTAATATTCTAACACTGGTCATGTATAAACAAAAGGATGCTATGTGTTGCTAAGGGAGCTGTCAGCATTACAAATGACTAATGTTTATACACTGAACTTCAAATAAATTCACCCTGGATTCATCATATTTATAAGCTGTATAGGTCGTCTAAGATATCCATGAAGGTCTTCCATTGGACATTAATGAATCCTTAAATACCAATGGAGGTGTGTATGTTTTTGCATTCACAATGATTCGTTCACTAAAAATGTCCTCCATTACAGGAATATATGTGGGTGAGGGACTGGGCACGATGGGAGGATTGTCTAAGGAACAGGGGCCCCCAACCATTATTTTGCACAGGGGCTCTCGGAAACTAGACCTGGCCCTGGTGGGATATCAGTGTGTCGTGGTGATACAACTAATGGGATGTCATTGTCGTGGCAATACAACTAGGTAAACGGCGCACATTTCTCGTATCGATATTATTAATCATTATCAAGACATTCCTGCAATGCATGAACAAAATCGATAAGGCCTTTCAGGTGGTTTACGTCTTCTACACCTTTACCTTGACTTATCATTCTTTTACTCCCATCAATAATTAATCAATTCCTAACATACTACTTCTTACACATACCTGTACTTACCACAGCCATCTTTGATAGACTACAGAAAGGGTTAACAGTTTTTCAGCATTTCTCTCTGGTAAGCTGGTATTGTTATCTGCAAATAAAGATGCTTTATTAGTTATGGTCATAATACTGATAATGCCAAACAAAATTAATTACAATAAACAGATTTATTTAAACATCCTTGATAGGCACACTTAGAATCACTTCAGAATCAAAATATTTTCAACCTTAAATTTTCATTCATATAAGCTCTGATAACATGTACATTTTAAAAAAGTACTGTAGCTGATAAGGAAAATGTAAGATATGCCTGCTGCTGGGACAACTGTGCCAACAAAATGTCCACTGACTGTATTGATCTGGAATAAAGTGGCTGCTACTTAACATACCGCATGTTTGACACATTTAACAAAGAAAGTAAGAAAAAAAAACAAAACAAAGACAGTAGACAAAGTTTACAAACAGCCAGACAACACTCGCCTTTGTAGACACGCGCCACAGCAGTATACAGGTATTGGCTTATTCATTAACTATGACACTACCAGCGCCATCACACTCATTATTGTATCATCTTGCTGTAAGAGAGAGAGAAAGAGTGAGACAGTGAAAAGAGAAAGAGAGAGAGAGAGAAGGGAGAGAGAGAGAAGGAATAGAAGTCGGAGTAAACTGCCATGTTCGGTATTTCACACTGAACAACAGTATAAACATAGTAGACCTCGTTACATACTGACCATACCTGCCGTATCTTGGTGGAAATGTGCAAACCCTTTCTCGAGTTATTTTTGCGAGACACACAGACAGGAACGAAAACAAAGTTTCGGACAGGATAATTATGATATACCTGTCTCTGGTCCAGCTACTGTATGCTTGACATGTGGAGACAGGAATGTGAGAAGAACCTCCAGTAGTGTATTTTAATTGGTAATATCACTAATATTTTTAATTACAATGATTAGTATTACTAACCTATTATATTTTTTACAATATAGTCATCAATAACTTGAAGTGAATCACAAAAGTGATTATGTTAATAACTTGCTATCGTCTACTTCTCTCCTTGCTCTGTTTCTCCATTTATTTTCTATGTACAATATTTATGGCTGTCTCTATTCTACATCAGTTATATTAATATACATGTGACATGTGTACTGTATCCTGTATCTGTGCAGCCCTTGAAGGCTCTTACTGCTGGGGGTGGGGGAAAGAAACTCTTACTTGAAAAATAAGTTTAATTACATAAGTCTTACAAAGGATAAGAAGTAACTTGAAAACGAGAGCACTTGACAGCATTTGTTTGTTTGTCAGAGAACAGAACACGGGTGTACACACTGTGTACAATGTGTATAGCTGGTGACAATAATCAAAGTTACTATTATTTACACAAGTATTGGAGATCCAGCTCCTTCCATCACATACACCTACTGGTGGACGCTAAACAAGTTGTCCAACACTTGTATTTGTAAACGTGTGCCACTAGGCGCAGTGCACATTACACACTTATACCATTAACATCTGCAGCTGGACACTTTAATAAGTGCATATGACATACTTCCAATCATAACAACTGCAGATGGACACTCAAGTCCAGCTGACACACTGATTGGCTGGTACAGTATAACAGGATAAACTTACGATAAAACTGAACACTCAAGATACCTTCCCTATCACAGCTAAATTCTTAGAAATCAATACAAGGGAACGATAAATATACGACAATACCTCCTCTTAAAAAATCTGGTCTAAAAATTAAATATTATTATTATCCACAAAACACATCCCTGACTTAGCATCTCTGTCTCACCTGTGTGTTCACAGAAAGCTTTTTTTAATATAACATAAATAGATTTTAACATTAACAAATTAACACTAGAAAATTTTCCGATCTACAATAGGAAATATTCTAAATACATAGATATACTCAGGTGCGTATAACTCTGTGGATCCAGTCGGAAAACATGGCAATGTTAGTATAGACTCCAGGGAGGTGCCGGCGAGCACATCCAATACCCCAGCTGACCAGACCGATCAGGTGACGACGACCTCCAGTCATGAGGGTAAGTGGACTACCAGAGTCCCCCTGGGTGTCCAAGAAAATAGGTTATGCATTATATAGAAAACAAGAAATTAATAGGTTATGAATTATATGGAAAACCAAAAATAAGTAATTGCAGGAAATGCGTTATGAAGTAACTAATTAAAATAATGATCAGAACGATACAGTAAAATGACAGAACTACAAGAGGGAAAAATGAATACAGTAATAGTAAGTCATGACTATTGTACAGCACTAAATTACACCAATTTACTGATATGACTTCAAAACTAAATCAAAAGCAAGCAAGATAACCCATGAAAAATAATCTTTCCCTTATTAGTAAACTTGTTGTTGGTTAAAAACTTTTCTTATTTAACTAAGGTAGAAAATTCTGTAATATAATACTCAGTAAAACACATTAGGTAATTATCTGCTTAACATTCTTATAAATGCCAAGTTATGATCATATCCTTTGTAAAAATTATTTCTAAGAGAGAATAAATACAGTTAATTATGACTCTATGGTGATTGCGATACATGCAGTGCAATAACAAACAAACAAACAAACAAAAAGCAAAATATGAGATCAAGTGCTGGAAGTGGGTGGGTGAGTCAGTGAATGTGTGTGTGTGTGTGTGTGTGTGTGTGTGTGTGTGTGTGTGTTAAAACCAAATCTATCACCCTTATATACTGTACCACCAGGACAGTATGTCAAGATGTCACATTCAGTCTTATTAGTGATACGACTGAGGTTTTACTCGAGACATTTCTCTTTAATATATTGTACACTACCTGCTAATCCCTGTTTTTAGTAATTAGTCAGTTAAACTCTCCCTGTCTCTATCTGCCAATCTTACAATAAGGAATCATTACTTTGATGCTGACAGAGACATCTGATATAGAGTATTCGTATGGCTCCAGCTAGGTGTTGAAGTGAAAGTTATTTTGAGAACTAACTGATTCACTGTAATGACCCCCTGAAGGAGCGGATGTTGTTCAGGCCATTGCTCTAAGCATTGTCTGTTGTCAGCGACACAGTAGAAACATATATTTCACTAACTCCTATCAGCTGAAATCAAACCCTCGACCAGCGACATGGGAGTGAGAAGAGAGACCAACAGCCTTCACATCCTCGCGGGGCAGCCCTCGTACCCTTACGGGGCAGCCCTCAAACCCTCACGGGGCAGCCCTCACACCCTCACCGAGCGGTCCTCACACCCTCACGGGGCAGCCCTCACACCCTCATGGGGCAGCCCTCACACCCTCACGGGGCAGCCTTAGCACACAAGTAACTCTTTCGTTCGTAACTTATGAGTACAGTATATGTGGTAAAGTGTAATGAAAAAGTTGACATTAATGTGACTTCTTAGTGTCTAAAATCTACAAGTAATACTGATATCCACAGCATGCTCTCGGCTGTAGTAAGAGGTGCATCATGCCTGTGTTTACTGGAAGACAAGATACTGTACACTACAGGAAATCGTCATCAGGAAGCAGATAATGTGTGATGTTGTCTTCACATTGTCTCAGACCCACGATGTGGTGAACCCTAGTTATGTCTACTCCACTAAAAACATATATGTCAGTTCAGTCATATTTTTCAACATATATGATAATAGTCATCTGGGTCTTAGCATGCAGAGTTGTGTAAGCACATATATGGGCCCCCCAAGTTAGCGGATTTTTCTTCGCGGTTCTCTGTTATTCGCGGATGACACCCTAAATGTGCCCAAGAATGTCTGTGGGTAGTTTTAAAGTTGCCGTCATTTTTGCGGCTAAGACAGGGAGCCATTCGTTCTAGAAACAGTAATTTCCTTAACCTGTATTGTAAATATGTGTCTGTGTGTGTAGACACACTCACAAAACACATACAAATAAATAATAATTGGAAAATAGTCTCACAAATAATCAGAGACAAATTTATTAAAAATATGTGAGAGGATTTACCAATTATTATTTATTTGTATGTGTTTTGTGTGTATGTGTGTCTACACACACACACACACACACATATATATACAATACTACATGTATGAGAAATAATTGTCCTAAGGGCAAACACATAAAGGGAAGACAGCATACATTTCTTTGTACATAAGTAAAAAAAAATGTACCTCTCCCTCTCCCCCGGGTCCGCAAATGTTTTTCGCAGAATTGGCGATTCGCGGCCATTTTGAGAACCTAACCCTGCGAATTTGGGGGACCCCCTTATGTTAAAGTAAACGAGTCTTATCGTACCTATGTCCCAACAAACATGTTTAAGCACACACGTCTAAGGATATATATTCCTAAACTCACACACACATATCTATATGTGATAGAAAACTTGTGTCTAAGTATCCAAGTATAAGTACAGAAGCCGTGGCAAATATTCTGAAACACACACATGGCTACCGGGTAAGCACAACCATGCCCAAGAAACATAGGTCAAAGCACACAGATGTCTTGAGCACTTGCTTGTAAGCACACATAATTATGTCTTAGCACATACATATGAAATCACACATATCTTTGCATAAGTTAAAACATACACACACGTCAACACATGGACCTCAAAGCACATTTTAATGGCAATAGGAGACTTACATAAGGCTCGGGAAATAAACATCTTTAAGTCTGATGGTCCATCTGCCAGCACGCTTTTGGTCCAGTCTACGTCTACCTTCAAGAGTTTGGTTAAACAAAAGACTTCCTTCACTTATTACGAATAGATCAAAACTTAATACAGCAACTTGATCCTGCAGTACATTTTTTTTCAAGTGAGGAAACAGTCATTATTAAACTTTAAAAAACTCCAAAGCATTCGTAAGGAGTTTTCAGTTGTTTTCTTTTTATGCTTTAATATGATGATGTTAATATGTTTAATATTTTTATATCTCCAGTACAGAAAAAACAACAACAGAATTTATCATAGAAAACGTATTAACTTATTTACCAAGGCTGTGTAAATAAACCACATCTCTCTTACCAAAACTGAATAACAATATTCTGTTGATATTTTGTTGTACCTTGAGCGAGAAGATCTCAGCTGTGACATGAATACTTTAACTCTCAAACACCAGCAGCACCAGACATTTTGCTAAGGACCAATTCAGTAAATTTTTTGAGATACATTCCGAATACCTTGTCCTGTATAAGTAAAGTTTCTCTCTTAACCAGACTCCTGAAGGACTGACAGAAGTGTAAAGTAGACCAAGTAATATTTTACAGAGTGCTGAAAATTTTCACCCCAGACTTGGTCCTCCTGATTACAGTGAGGCTCTCAAGAGGAACATCTACTCGTAGTGTGTGGTCAGTATACAGATGTCTGAAGTACATGTAATGTCATAATTCGAAGATCTAAGCAAACACAAGTCGAGACACATATGCATATTTGTATTAAGATCATACATGTAAAGGCACACACACATGCAAAACATAAACATGAATATGTGCACATGCGTTAAAACACAAATGTCTGAAACTTATAGATGTCTAAGCCTATATACAGTATGCAGTAGCAAACATACAGATATATGTTCAAGATAATGGACGTTTTAGCTCATACGTATATGCATATGTGTGTAAAAGCTCAGATGTCAAAAGTACAGACGTCAAAGCCGACACATAGTTGTCTGAAAGCACGTATGTCTGAGATCAGTCGTGTGAAGTTCAGTATTCCTAGACTTTCATCTTCTCTTGTAACCAGTCCAGGTACATAGTCACGTTTGTGTACACCCCGGGCAGGTTGGTTCGTCCACACGCGATGCCCCATGACACAAGTCCAGCCAAATTGGCCTTGCCGTCTTTAATGACAGTCAGCGGTCCTCCAGAGTCACCCTGTAATGTGATTGGTCGAAGCCGGGGAAGGAAAGGAGAGTGAGATGATTTCGGCCTATTGGACCGAGATCAATAGTTTGACTAAAGGCAATTGTTGGAAGACCTTTTGGACGACTTAAGTAACCAACCAGAAAAGAATATTTTGCCAGATTTTACTACAACTGTTGGAATGTCTAGACCCGGAAAAGAGGGTAAAGGCTGGAGGTACTCATGAGGTTACTGGAAGATGTATACAGTGTAGCTGAAGAGTTTGGGAAGCCATTCAAAAGCCCAAGATATTAAAAGTAAGAAGATAATAATTTGATTGGAGGTATTTGGGAAACTTGCAAATAAGTTAAATGACAAAGTAAAGTAAAGGATGAAGAAGAGAAAATTGACCAAGACAGTGAAGCAATGAAGGAAGATGGAGGAAGATGGAGGAAGTGATGATGTGTTGTCTCTTAAATGCTCGAGATACCAGGGTGAGAATAATTGTGTTTCCTTTTAAGATTTTTCTGCTTGGAGATGGTTAGGTTAAGTGAGGTCAAGCAAACAGGAGGTTGAGTTATAGAAGGTTTAAACAGGAGGTTGAGTTATAGAAGGTTTAAACAGGAGGTTGAGTTATAGAAGGTTTAAACAAAAGGTTGAGTTATAGAAGGTTTAAACAGAAGGTTGAGTTATAGAAGGTTTAAACAGAAGGTTGAGTTATAGAAGGTTTAAACGGGAGGTTGAGTTATAGAAGGTTTAAACGGGAGGTTGAGTTATAGAAGGTTTAAACAGAAGGTTGAGTTACAGAAGGTTTAGACAGAAGGTTGAGTTATAGAAGGTTTAGACAGAAGGTTGAGTTATAGAAGGTTTAAACAAAAGGGTTAGTTATAGAAGGTTTAAACAGAAGGTTGAGTTATAGAAGGTTTAAACAGAAGGTTGAGTTATAGAAGGTTTAAACAGAAGTTGAGTTAGAAGGTTTAAACAGAGGTTGAGTTATAGAAGGTTTAAACAGAAGTTATAGTTGAGGTTGAGTTAGAAGGTTTAAACAGAAGGTTGAGTTATTGAAGGTTGAGTTATAGAAGGTTTAAACAGAGGTTGAGGTTTAAGACAGAAGGTTGAGTTATAGACAGAAGGTTGAGTTATAGAAGGTTTAAACGGGAGGTTGAGTTATAGAAGGTTTAAACAGAAGTTTGAGTTACAGAAGGTTTAGGCAGAAGGTTGAGTTATAGAAGGTTTAAACAGAAGGTTGAGTTATAGAAGGTTTAAACAGAAGGTTGAGTTATAGAAGGTTTAAACAGAAGGTTGAGTTATAGAAGGTTGAGTTATAGAAGGTTGAGTTATAGAAGGTTTAGACAGAAGGTTGAGTTATAGAAGGTTTAGACAGAAGGTTGAGTTATAGAAGGTTTAAACAGAAGGTTGAGTTATAGAAGGTTTAGACAGAAGGTTGAGTTATAGAAGGTTTAGACAGAAGGTTGAGTTATAGAAGGTTTAGACAGAAGGTTGAGTTATAGAAGGTTTAGACAGAAGGTTGAGTTATAGAAGGTTTAAACAGAAGGTTGAGTTATAGAAGGTTTAAACAGAAGGTTGAGTTATAGAAGGTTTAAACAGAAGATTATTATTTACCTTTGACTTAAAACATGGAGAAAAAACTACTACCTATTAAAAGCTTTTATCTTTATGTATATTATAACTGATTATATATCAAGACTTCTATTAATTTTTTTACGAAAACAATTTATAAACATCTACAAATTTAATCGTTTCTGTTAAATAATCAAACTAGTTAAGTAAATTAAATGAAATAAATTAATTTTATATATTTCTCAAGGAAGCTTAAGAAATAGACTAGGAGAAGGAAGATAGATAAAAGATGACCTTAAAAAATATTGAAATATATTGTCCTATCTACTAAGGTGAAATACATTTGAAGTAGACAGGAAGAGATGTTGTGTGATAAGATAAAGGAAGAGAAAACAGGGATAGAAGGTGTAATGTGATAATTGGAAGAAGAAAAAGGAAGATGGCAAGAAACAGATGAAACACGACAAGGGAAGCAAAATGGTTTTACAACAGCGACAAGAAGACAAACACGGTATAGATGTTGTGTGTTAAGATAGGAGACTATGAAGACAGGTTACAGAAAGTCAAGTCATTCAAATTCGTCATAAAGAGGAAAGAAGAAACATACTGTATTCATTCAGACAAATTTCCACCATTTAGGGAAAGACATTTTATGATCAACCAATAAGCTCATGTGACTTAACACCAGCGGACAGTGATTGGCTGAGAGTATTTCCTAACCAACCAATGAACGCTGGGGTTTATTCTATTAATAAATATTAAAATTTTATCTAATTTCTTTATCCATAAAAGTCTGAGAGGTCAAGAATATGTCTGTTGAGATAGACATCAGCTAATATGGTATTCTAACTATCTAAGTCAACGTAGTTTAGGTTAACAAATGTCTGTCTGTCTGTTTGCAAGCATGATAATACAACCTGATTGCATATTGCACTTCAACTGATATGATGTTGCAACTCTGTATATTGGCCCCTTTGTTGTTATTATTATTATTATTATTATTATTATTATTATTATTATTATTATTATTATTATTATTATTATTATTATTCCTTCCTCGACAAGTGTGACGCCATTACTACACATTGCTATACAGAAAAACAAAAACACTTCATATTCAGCTCTTTTTTTGACAGAGTTACAAACACCAATCAGTAGTAGTGTTTGCTGTACACAAGCTAACAAAACACATAGAAGCTGCTGTAAACACTAGCTTAACTACTCATTTACATACTGTATATACAAAGACTATTGGAGAGCTATTTACATGAATACACGTGTCTGGGAGTTTTAAAGCTTGAGTTATTTACATTATAATTCACTCCTTTCGTTATTAATCATCGTATTATCTACTATACATCTACACTTACACTCTACACCACCCATCTCTATCCTGTACTACCCATCTACACCCAGTTACACTCCTCTACACTATCTACACCTACTCACACCCACCTACACCCCTGTACACTCACCTGAACCAACCTACACACATCTACAACCTCCTACACCTACCTAAACACACCTACACCAACTTAAACTCTCCTACACCCACCTTAATTATCCACCACCCCCAAACATACCTGACAGCTGTCCTTCCCACCGTTCTCGTAGCCAGCGCAGAGGAATACATCGTGAATCGTCTCCCGTCGTCCTGCCGCCTTGAACCACGACTGACACACGTCGTTTCTCAGGACCTCTACCTCAACCTCCTGCAGTACCTCCGGGGTCTGTGATATACCTGAAGGACACACGAAGGAGGTGTGAGGAAGGAGGAGAGACAAGGGGTGAGTAGAGAGACCAGAGGGGGGGGATGAGGAGAGAGAGAGAAGACACATAGAGGGGGGTAAGGAGGAGAGAGACATAGAGGGGGTCATAGAGGGGGGTGAGGAGAGAGAGGGGGGTCAGGATATAGAGATAGAGAGAAGGGGTGAGGAGAAAGGCAGAGGAATGACAAGAGGAAGGAGAGGGTGAGGAATTAAGGGGGGGGGGGGAGGAGGAGGGAGGGAGGGAGAGAGGGAGGAGGAAGAAGAGGGAAGGAGGAAGAGATATCAGGAGGGAGGGAGGTAAGGAAGAAGGGAGGGAGGTAAGGAAGGAGGGAGGGAGGGAAAAGGAAGGAGGGAGAAGAAACATCAGAAAGAAGGAGGAAGGGAAGTCAGGAAGGAGGAAGGAAAGAAGAGAAATGCTAGGAAAAAGGAGGTAGAGAGGAATAAAGGAGGAGCCATGAAAGAGGAAGATAAGAAAATAGGAAGATGGTCCAGGGAAAAAAATAGAAAGAATTAAAGAAAGAAAGAAAGAAAGAAAGAAGTGGAATAAGAGGGGGAATAGGAAAATACAGATGGAAGGAAATAAAAGAAAGTAAAAAGGGGGTTTGGAAGGATGTGGGAAGGAAGGAAGGAAGTGCAAGAAGGGAAAATAAAGTAGAAAGCCAGCGAAATACAGACAGACAGACAGACAGACAGACAGACAGACAGACAGACAGGCAGGCAGACACAGTAACACAAGTAGAAAAAAAATTCAAATAGTAATAACATTACTTACACAATTATACAAGAAATAGACAAATTAAAACATACATGACCTGATTTTGCCTTGTGTATAAGGTATGGCATCTGTATGACAGGTGTAACGTGTGTCTGGCAGGTGTAACGTGTGTATGACAGATATAACGCGTCTGGCAGGCATACCGTGTGTATGACAGGTGTAACGTGTGTATGACAGGTGTAACGTGTGTATGAGAGGTGTAACGTGTGTATGACAGGTGTAACGTGTGTAGGGCAGGTGTAACGTGTGTAGGGCAGGTGTAACGTGTGTATGACAGGTGTAACGTGTGTAGGGCAGGTGTAACGTGTGTAGGGCAGGTGTAACGTGTGTATGACAGGTGTAACGTGTGTATGACAGGTGTAACGTGTATGATGGTGTAACGTGTGTAGGGTGGTGTAACGTGTGTAGGTGCACGTGTGTAGGGTGTAACGTGTGTAGGGGCAGGTGTAACGTGTGTGTGTGTGGGGCAGGTGTAACGTGTAGGCAGGTGTAACGTGTGGCATGACAGGTGTAACGTGTGTAGGGGGCAGGTGTAACGTGTGTAGGGCAGGTATGTGTGCGTATGACAGGTGTAACGTGTATGACAGGTGTAACGTGTGTATGACAGGTGTAACGTGTATGACAGATATAACGCGTCTGACAGGCATACCGTGTGTGGCGACAGGTGTAACGTGTGTATGACAGGTGTAACGTGTGTATGACAGGTGTAACGTGTGTATGACAGGTGTAACGTGTGTATGACAGGTGTAACGTGTGTATGACAGGTGTAACGTGTGTATGACAGGTGTAACGTGTGTATGACAGATATAACGCGTCTGACAGGCATACCGTGTGTATGACAGGTGTAACGTGTGTATGACAGGTGTAACGTGTGTATGACAGGTGTAACGTGTGTATGACAGGTATAACGTGTGTATGACAGGTACAACGTGTATGACAGGTGTAACGTGTGTATGACAGGTGTAACGTGTGTATGACAGGTATAACGCGTGTATGACAGGTGGCCAACGTGTATGACAGGTATAACGCGTGTATGACAGGTATAACGCGTATGACAGGCCAACGTGTGGGCGATGGTATAACGTGTATAACAGGCATGGTCATATGGCCTGGGAGTACCTAGAGCCTGGAGTACCTAGGCGTGGAGTACCTAGAACCAGGAGTACTTAGGCGGGAGTACCCAGCCTTTGAGTACCTAGAGTTCGTGGAGTACCTAGGCCTGGAGTACCCAGAGCCTGGAGTACCTAGAGCCTTGAGTGCATTTGTAGAGCCTGGAGTACCTAGAGCCTGAGCACGAGCCTGGCACTAGGGGCTCTGGGAGTAACACCTGGGAGTACCTAGAGCCTGGAGTACTAGGCCTGAGTACTTAGGGCCTGGAGTACCTAGGGGCCTGGAGTACCTAGGCCTGGAGTACCTAGGGGCCTGAGTACCTAGGGGCCTGAGTACCTAGGGCCTGGAGTACCCAAGGCCTGAGCAACGAGCCCTGAGCACCCAGAGCCCGGGGAGTACCCAGAGCCTGAGTACTGAGAGCCTGGAGTACCTAGAGCCTGAGTACCTAGGGCCTGGAGTACCATGGCCTGGAGTACCTAGGGGCTTGGGAGCACCTAGGGCGTGAGCACCTGGGAGCCTGGAGTGGCCCAGGGGCCTGGAGTACCTAGGCCTGGAGGCCTAGGCCTGAGTACCTAGGCCTGGAGTACCTATGGCCTGGGAGCACCTGGCTGGAGTACCTAGGGCTTGGAGTACCTAGGCCTGGAGTACCCAGGGCCTGGAGTACCTATGGCCTGGAGCAGCCTAGGGGCTTGAGTACCTAGGGCCTGGAGTACCTATGGCCTGGGAGTACCTAGGCTGGAGTACCTAGGGCCTGGAGTACCTAGGGCCTGGAGTACCTAGGGCCTGGAGTACCTAGGGCCTGGAGTACCTAGGGCCTGGAGTACCTAGGGCCTGGAGTACCTAGGGCCTGGAGTGAGGTCGAATTCTGTATGTTACATAATAGTACTTGTCTCAGTTATCATATTACGTAGTTCATTACGAGATCATTAATGGCCTCAAGTCCTTTAACCCCTCAGTGATCTAGTTACAATGCAGGTGGTGAGACTATCTCCCCTCCCACCACACACGGGCGGGCGGGCGGGCGGGCGGGCACGCACGCACGCGCTCATGCGCGCGCGCGCGCGCGCACACACACACACACACACCCTTGGGTGATATGCCAATGTGAAGTTACTGTATACCTTCATCTGGTCTCATCTCCTATTCATGTTGTTTCTCTCCCTCTAGCAAGTGTGACCTCTACCGTCCAAGCGATCCTTACCTCCATGACATCATTTCAGTGACGACAACCTTCTGTCTAAGTAGCTCTTCTGTCCAAGACAATTCTGTCCAAGGCATCAATCTTTTCATGACTCCCAGCTGAAGGACAGTGACCGTGGGTAAACGACCCAATGTACAAATACCCTTTTGTCCAGAACTTCCTATTGTTCAAGACAAACCTATTGACAGGAACTGACCGTGGTTGAGACGTCCCCAGCCCGTGACGGTGCCATAGTCCCCGACGAAGCTTTCTCCCTGCTGGGGTAGACACACTGGGATGATGTGCTCCTTGAATTTGACCGTCCTCTTCACCTTCACCAGAGCCACGTCGTTCCGGAAGTCGGCCGCCTGGTAATTCGGATGGACCTCTTTCCTCGCCACCTCGAAGTCCTCGTGCGGTAGTCTTTCATTCTGCTTGTGTACGTTCCACTCTCCAAGGCGCACCTTCATGCTGCTGATTGGCGTTCTGTGGAAGGTGGAAAAGACTTAGTGGAGACTTAAAATGAAGCACCGAGAGCCTGGGAAGGGGCCTTTAAGAGACATGGATGATGCCTTTAAGGACTGTTAATGGTTGTTAAGTAGTTGGAAATGGACCTCTTGGGCGGAATAGGATGTTTTTAGCGTGGAAGGAACGTTTAGGATCTGGAGAGGGCCGTTTGGTACTGGGATGGGGCGCTTACAGCATGGGAAGGATGCGTATCCAAACCAGCATAGAAATATACAGCTGGAAAAGATTGACTCTTATTAGTTCTCTTCAGTGACCATCCGTCAAGGTGAGTGGCGCCATGCCGAGTGATGAATGTTTTTAATCAATACCTCTGTCAGTAACGATAGTATGTAATGTACATCACGCGAGTCATCCATGTTACGTCACGCTCCTAAAGTGACGTTGCCGTGTCATGCATTAGGGTGAATAATGTCGCATCATAGCTCACGATAAGTAGGTCGTGGTATATAACAGATATCTCCTGGAGTGGGGAGGGAAGGAGAGGAAGTACAGGGTAACGGAACTTAACACGCAAAAAAAAAACCCAAGAGATACTATTCTCTAATAACCTAAAGGAGAAACTAATGCATTTTGCTGAAGAACAAGAGGCACGTTCAGAAACCAGGAAGCATTAGTACTCACGTGGCGACGCAGTGGGCAGCGGTGATGACCCAGTGCTCGTTGACAAGAGCTCCGCCACAGGCTATACGCTTACTGAGGAATGATTCTTTGATGATGGCCACCTGCCATGGGTGAGTTCCGAATGCCGTGTCGCTTCCTCCGACGATCCTGTTAGTCCTGGCGTAAGTTTCCCCGCACCCTGCAAGACACATGGGAGATTTAGACAAAGGTGTGGGGGCGTGGTGTGGGCGGAGTCAGGGGCTGTGTGCAGAGTCAGGGCTCAGGAACAATAGGGGAGTTAGATATGCGGTGTAGCCAAGTGATGGAGGTGTTGTAGGCAAAATAAAAATAAAAGCAATAAACATGAGCTCAGCCATGGGTTGTAGGCAGAGACAGGTGGTAGTGGGTGGAGGTAGACGGTGTGGGTGAAGGTACATTACGTGGTGTGGGCGCAGCCAGGGGTCGTGGTCAAGGGGTGCGACAAGGAGGTAGTCAGGGTATAGAATGCATGACCTTCGACAGTGGTTGGTGGCTTATGTATGTGACCTTTGACCTAAACAACATCATTGACCTTCAATGCACTACTGACGTCAGTCAACTCAATGACTCCAGCAACATCAAGACGTAAGCACGCGACCTGTGGCCTTCACAGCGTATGAAACACTTAATATTCACACATCACGCATTATACAATTTGCTGCTAGAGAGAAATTTCGCATAATATTGCATTCGAGGTCATGAGAGTATACATATATATATATATATATATATATATATATATATATATATATATATATATATATATATATATATATATATATATATATATATATATATATATATATATATATATATATATATATTTATATTTATATATATTAGGGTGGTCCAAAACTATATGGTAAAAAATATAAGTAGTAATATATTGCCTCCAGAAGCCTTAAAATTGTCCATTTGGTTCATAGATAAGGTCTATAAAATTTTATCCATATTCATTAACATTTAGAGGTCAATCCATTTTGCATATTATACTTGTAGTGTAGGACTGAATTTTCTTGTCCGCATGATACAGTCTTAATATACACAACACATTATATTGGGTATATTTCAATGTATATAGCCTAGTTGCCTATTTGGAAAGGGCAAAGAGTCAAGTATTGAGTCATAGGGACTGACAATGACAGGTTGAAACAGGAAACACAGACAAGGGTTACCATTAATCAGATGAAGTTACTTATTTCATTTATATCTCATCAGTTCTACAATTATTTCATTATCAATCTAAATAGTATATTTTGCTGAATAAAGACAATGTGTTTATAATGTGTTTATCTAGCCCCGAAAAATCCTTATTACGTACTAAATGGAAAAAAGAGGACATTGGATTGACCTCTAAATATGCTTTAAATGATCCAATTTTTTTCTGGGATGCATTTTGTACCTAATGGACAAAAATAAACCTTGTGGAGAAAACGTATACAAATATGTGATATTTTGGACCACCCTAATATATATATATATATATATATATATATATATATATATATATATATATATATATATATATATATATATATATATATATATATATATATATATATATATATATATATATATGACGTGCTCGTATATATGCAATTAATACTCACAAAACAAATGTAAGAGAATACAGTATTAAGGAACCGATCACGTCAACATGACCATCATGTTAGTGGGTGACATCACTCAACTCTGGAAGGTGTTGACTGATTCATTTAAAACTTGACTGAGATATATTAGTCGCCCTCTCTGCCCCTCTCCTCTGCACACACGATCCAATTAATCACTTTAAACCAGAAGACTGAAAACTTTCGAGGTTGTATCGCGTATTCGAGTTCTTCCTTGCGAGGCATACAGTATACTGTACGTGGAGTCTACGATCGTTTAATTTATCTTTTTGGTATTTAGTTTTTATTCCCATCGTTTAGTTCCCGCTTGACTCTGCGTTACTAAAAAGTAGTACGATAAACGTTTGACGAGTCGGAGAAAAACAACATTGTGTAAAAGTGAAAGTTATAAACAAGTCATCCGGTCGAGCGGCAGGTGGAAAGTGAACCACTCACCTACTGCTGCTCCCCCTCCCTCACCCCGGGCTTCACCCCCTCTTTCACACTTCCCTCTCCTTTCTCTCCTCCCTCACACTTCCCGCTTTTTTCCTCACTCCTCCCTCTCTACCTCTCCCCGGGCTTCACCCCCTCTTTCACACTTCCCCCTCCTTTCTCTCCTCCCTCACACTTCCCCCTTTTTTCCTCACTCCTCCCTCTCTACCTCTCCCCGGGCCTCACCCCCTCCCTTTCTCTCACTACTTCCCTCACCCATCCCTCCCTTACCTCTTCCTCTCAATCTTTTCCTTTCTCAACCCTTTCCTCCCGCATACCTAGATCCCTTTCTCCCTCTTCACTCTCTCCCCCTCTCTCTCCTTCATATCCCAGATTCTCTCGTACCCCTTTCCCTCCCATTCCCCCCACTCTTTTCTTTGCACCTCTTCCTCCATTCTTTCCCACAACCCTTTCTCCCTCTTTACTCCCTTTCTTACCCTCCTCCTTCCATATCCACAGTTTACCTCCTACCCCTCCCTCCCTCCCACTGTTCCGTTGACACACCACCATCCCACTTCGTTCTTTTCCTCACATCCTTCCTTCCTCTCCTATTTTCCCTCACATTCCTCATTTCCTCTCCAGACTTCACTCCACCCCCCCGTCTCCCCTCGTCCTTCTCCCCTACAAGCCTCTCCCTAGTTTTCAACCCCTCTAATCTCGCCCACTTCCCTTTACTCTCTTCACCCCAACAATTCTTCTACTTCCCTCCTTCACCCTTCAACCATCCCGCGAAGAAGAATAGAAAGTGTCAGAGAAACAGAGGAGGACCCAGGAACGGGGCTCTTACCCTGGTGGACGCCGGGTGACACATTCTCTCTCTCTCTCTCTCTCTCTCTTTCTCTTGTCAAGAATATTACAAGAACCAAGGACGCTCCCGGTGACACATTTCAGACAAAACAGCCGCAGTGTGATGGGAAATACAGTTACTGTAATACATTCTTCACCAAGGATGCTTCTTTCAGTGTAATTATACACGTGGCCTCGGTGGGACACTGTTGTCTGTGTTCAAGTTAGTACAACTCTATATATCACTATTTAGAGCTCAAGGTTGTGCTGCATCCACATTCAATTACGATTTTGTCGACGTCTACTTTATGTATGTATGTATGTATGTATGTATGTATGTATGTATGTATACGGTATTATCTCCCTTGTGTGTGTGTGTGTGTGTGTCACACCTTTCTCTTTACAAAAATATATCACAAAATACCAAGGTCAATTTTCTCCTCAAGATCTGGCAGGTGGCGGAAGAACTTGTCTCACGTTTAAGGGAACATCCGCTGAAAGTTTGAACCAGAAGAACACATTGACCATGACCTTGTGTGTAGAGAGGAGGGGGAGGTTCTCACAGCCAATAGGACGGCGACACACAGCTGGATGTGATCAATTCTGGAATCACCTGAAGATTTACGTTCCCCAGCTTATTCCACCTCATGATTGAACTACCCCATAACGTTACCTGTGGGGTGTTAGGTTAGGTTATTTTAGCCTTAGGGTGTGTATTTATCAGGTAAAATAAGCAAGGGTCTCTAATATTCACGTGCTCCCGACACACACACACACACACACACACACACCTGAATGTGATAAAATTTGTACCTGAGAATTGACAGGTGTGAACGTAAACAGCACTTACGTTGAAGTGATCCAGAGGAGACAGACGTTACCACAGGAGCCAACAGAGGAGAGAAGAACGGAGAAGTGAATGAGAATAGAAGAAAAATGAATAAGAGGAAAATAGATGAGAGGATCCAGGTCGTAAGATGGCATCAAGGAGGGAGAGAAAGTAAGTTGGTGTGGTACGGTAGTAAAAGAGACAGACAGACAGAGAGAAGATAAGGAGAGAAAAAGACAGAGACAGAAAGAGGAAAGCAGCATAGTAAGAGATAGAGGAAGAAGTAACAGGAAAAAAAAGAGAAGGAAGAGAGACAGGAATGAAGGGTGGGAAGGAAGTAGGATGTACGATATTTTGTTGTCATCACTCTATGAAGGTGAAATATATTGTATACATCAGCTATTTCATATGCAGGGACCATTAACATATATCCTGGTTGTTTCCTATACATCAATGTTTCCTATATGTACGAGTATCTGAGAGTCACGGATGTTTCCTAACGCTCACAATAGCACCAATTACACACACACACACACACACACACACACACACGAGAGACGCCTCTTTATTTACGCACCAGTTACGTCATCAACAGCTAGGCTCTGTTAACCATGCGTATTGTTATCAAAAATAAAGAGGTCAAGGTGGATAACGAGAGAGAGAGAGAGAGAGACTCTTCACAACTCGCCACCACAGACAACACTGAACCATTAAAACAGAGGTGGACAATTACCTTCAGGAACGCCGCGACTATTGGAAGACTGACCACTGAACTGCAATATACATATCCTTCGAATACTTATACAACATCTAAGTCTTGCTTAAGGGTTACTGGGTTCTGTAGTGATTTCTGTATGATGTTATTACAGCACTTCAACAACAACTAAGGTCTTTAAGCGAGTTACTAGTTTTCTGATGGTTCAAACAGCGAAGCAATAACACCATGTACTTAATAATACAAATAATGGTGGCATCCGGAAACCTTTGTTCGTATGTGTTAAAAATTGGAGGATGTTTATTTATTACGAAGTTATTAATTTCCCCCATTATCGTGAGGCCCAGAATGAGTTACGGTGCAGTTACAGTGAGTCAGCGATACGGTACAGTTACAGTGAATCAGCGATACGGTACAGTTACAGCGAGTCAGCGATACGGTACAGTTACAGCGAGTCAGCGATACGGTACAGTTACAGTGAATCAGCGATACGGTACAGTTACAGCGAGTCAGCGATACGGTACAGTTACAGCGAGTCAGCGATACGGTACAGTTACAGCGAGTCAGCGATACGGTACAGTTACAGCGAGTCAGCGATACGGTACAGTTACAGCGAGTCAGCGATACGGTACAGTTACAGCGAGTCAGCGATACGGTACAGTTACAGTGAGTCAGCGATACGGTACAGTTACAGCGAGTCAATGATACGGTACAGTTACAGTAAATCAGCG